ATATATATATATATATATACATTTTAAAGTAGTTATTAAAGGATGAAATTAAATTATTTGAAACTGACCCTTTGGAAAATGGTTCTTTAATGCAGAAGGACTTGGAAAGTCTTACTAACTTAGATAATTTTCTGAGAATGAGTTTCAACATTCAGAAATGAAGAATGATGCATATGGAAAGATCTTATGTTTTGTGTGGAAGAAATACTAGTATTGTGAAAAGCAAGAAAGATTTGGGTACACTTATAAGTCTCAAAGGATTCAATCAATCATTTGGAAGTAATGAAATGTTTGTAATGAGTTACTGTCAACAGTAGTAGAGAATGGCATCATACAATAGTATAAACGGAAGAAACCCTTTATTTTTACTTTTTTCTCTGGTATGGGATTACAGTGACAGCAATGAAATACAAGATAATCCCTTGTTTATATGTTATGAAAAAAAAGAAGTAAAAACAGGGTTCTGAACTAGGAAGATTATTATTGTATTGTACAAAATTTTGGTAGTACTTATTTGGAGTACCATATTTTCCTTTGTATAAGTCGTTATTTTTTTCCCAAAGAATTTTATATGCGCCTTATTTATGACTTTTTCTATGGTGCAGTGATTGTCCATATTAATTTCATCACCATTTTCATAACAGAAATAAAATACAAAATAACATTCAATATTTATTACAATAACAATCATATTTAAGTAGGTAACAGATAAAACAATCATATCCACTATTACAGTTACCATGTTATCAGCACTAGAAATTAAACAAATTTTAATGATTCTTTACTTATTTTATTTATGTGAAACATCAAAAACAATAAATATAACAATGTATGCATAAAAAAAAAATACATGTCATATAGCAGTAGGATGAACTTATTAAGATATTATTATTCAATATTTATTACAATAACAATCATATTTAAATAGGTAACAGATAAAACAATCATATCCACTATTACAGTTACCATGTTATCAGCATTAGAAATTAAACAAATTTTAATGATTCTTTACTTATTTTATTTATGTGAAACATCAAAAACAATAAATATAACAATGTATGCATAAAAAAAAATACATGTCATATAGCAGTAGGATGAACTTATTAAGATCGCAGAGGTAAGACCTACATAAAGATGAGACTTATGTATGTACAAAAACTAAAAAATCCCTAAAAAATCAGCCCTGTGACTAATACAAAGGTGTGACATATAATAACGAAAATACAGTACTGTGCTAAGTTTGGACTATATTAATGAAAAAGATATGTTTACTTGCTTGTAAGAGTTCAGAGATAATATTCCAAAATGATTTCTAGTCTGAAACATTTATATCATAAACACAGACTCAAGATTTAACCTTCTTTTCTCGGTAACATACAAGAAATAGAAGTATCTAATTCAGTCTTTTAAAAACTTTTTTGGATAAACTTGGGGCTTGGTTGAATAAACTAGCCATAAGAGATTTTAACGTGACAAAGTCACCCATTTAATTACTCAAACAACCAGAGAAAAAAAAAGACTAAATGTAGCACATCACATCCATTTGCTTATGCCATAGAACTTCAAATTAATTTAAACTACAAGTAAATAGCACATCAACAGACAAACATTTTTCACAAGTATATAACTATTATTATATATTAAATATTCCAAAATGGTTATCAGGAAAAATTATTTCTCTGTTATTTATAAGTCTGTAAACTAGATGAAGTGATATGTATTGGTGGTCTGAACTTAATTTTTTATGGATAACTGTATGGATGTGAAGGATTGCATTTAAATTGAGCTAAATGAACTTCTGTCAGCTAATTTTTTTTTATATTTTATTGCAGGCTTTGACAAATATTTTCAGATGTGCCTTACCTAACTTCAATATTGTTTGTACTGGGAAATGGGGGCTACACTATTTACCTCAATTATCCACACTTCCAATATCCAATATCCTCGACTGTACAAGGTATTTTTCTTTTCCCCAAGTTTTCTTAAAATAATTGTGCCATTACAATTCTAGACAATAATTTACATGTTTTAAAGAAATTATCACTCAGAAATTACTTTTGGTTGCAAAAGTTCAGGTGTTGCATGATATCTGTGGTTTTCGCATGCAGGATCTGGTGTGCATTCAAATCGTAAGTCAGCCAGTTCAAGCCAAGCCTTGCCTCTTTTATTTTTAACTGTTAAAACAGGAATACAAAATATTTGTGGCTTATTTAACTTTATTTGATTAGTGATTAAAAACATAGTATCCAAAATATACATTAAGATTTTTTATAGATTTCACTCAACTTGAATTGTCGTTTGCTATTCCATGCTGCATGGCAAGCATCCTTTAACCAAAGATGCATGTTCAGGTTGTATTGGAGGTCACCCAGTTATGCACTGTCCTCTCCCCTACAGATAATTGGTATCTTCAGTCTGTTTTAACAAAGGCTTTTTTTGTAATAATTCCCAAGCATAGATTTGCACTAATTTTTTACTTATTTTTCACAAGTGTTGACAGGGTGCAAATGCGCTTCCATATCACAGTAGAAAAAGTGACAAAATTTAGAAGCTATTTATGCCTATGTTAGTGATTAAATTCAACTAAAATGAGAACAGGCAATCAAAAGAGGAAATATTATGGGAGAAAAAGTGGAATTGGACTGGTGTAACTCATGAAATTCAGAGAAATCAAAAGTGACTGACTGACTGAGACTTGGCTTTTATGATTGTGACATGTTTTATAATATTTCATGATACTTTGATTAAATGACAGTAAAAAGATTATAATTTAAAACAAGGAACTTAAATGTATTGAAAAACTTTTATTTAGATTAAACAATGGGCTAACTAGTGAGATACGCTAGTGCCTCGATTATCTGCTATTTCTGTTATCCACGATTTTTTGCTTTCCCCAGACCAGCACAGATAATCGAGGCACTAGTGTACATACATTTTCTTTCACAGCAACAAGTGCATGCTAATGATCACAAGATATCAACATCTACTTGATAGTATTGCATGAATTAACTGCCTTCTGTCTGAGTCTATACACATGCACTGATTCATTGAATTGAGAGAAAAAAAATAAAAACAAAATGGTGCAAAATTAGTTGTGCAGCTACAGCTCTCTATTCCTGAATAACATAACTGTTCCAGATCCAAGTTATATTTAGCACAGCCCTACGCACAAATAAAATGAGAGAAAATACTAAACGCCACAATGAAATTTTGTCACCATGGCAACCTGGCACCTGAGATTTGTCGAGTCCTGGTATAATGCTTCAGTACCTTAATAATAAAATCAAATGTCCTTCTTTTTTTTACAAATGACAGTAAAAATACAATAGATAATTACAATGCAAATTTCAAGCCTCTATATCCGGTGCAACTACCATTTGAAACTTACTTATCTTTATTTATTCCAGCTGTTTTACTTTGGTCTAAGAACAATGCCATAATTCCCATACGATACATATGGTCTGCTACACTCTCCACATTTTTTAATCCTCTCAAAACCCATCCAGTGCGTTGAACTTGCTAAAAAAATTTTAAAAAGTTAAAATAAGTTTAGTAAATGAAAATTATAGCAACATCTCTAAAAATTAATAAAATGAAATGTCAACCCCCATTAAATAACAAGTTAAATGGTAAAAATAAAAGGTTAAAACATTTCTGAAAAAAAGTGTATAAATAACAAGACAAATAACTACATACACAATTATTTTTCCAGAAATAAATTTAAAAATTATAGTTTATTAGATTACTCTATGAGCTTTGCAACTTTCTGTGAATTAGCTAGTTTTAATATTCTTTAATATTTAAGACTAGCATCTTTGCAATTACCACATTAGAATAAAAATAAAAATATTAGGTAAGCCTATAAACATAAGTTATATCTGATCCCAGATAATTTATCACCGCTAAGGCCAGGAGTACAATCAAACATGGCAAGGGCATCTTATCCATAAATCACCTCTTTAGTTACCAAAACAATCAAAGAATAAAAACTAAATGTAGCACATCATATCCATTTGTTTAAACAACAGAAAGTCAAAATAATTCAAACGATAAGTAATAGCACAATAACAGGCAAACATTTTTCACAGGTTTATAATTCTTACTCAATACACCTTGTACCAAAGAATAAATGTGTCCTCTCTACCATTAAAACTTGAAACTTTGTACAACCATGAAGAGAGGTTATTACCCTCCAAACTTCCCAAAGTTTTCCAAAGTTTCCCAAAGTCTTTTTTGTTTTCATTGTGTATTTTAAAATATCCTTCACACTAAGAGTTATTTAGATATAACAGTGAAAGAGCTAAGTAGGAAATTACCACCTCTAATATTGAAGTTTTAGACAAAATGCATACTATACCAAAGCACACCATCCAAAGCCCATATAATGAGACAAATTCTGGTCACTAGTTCATTTGTACTCAAGAGTAAACAGTTTTAAGTTTCTGGAGTTTCTCTATAAATGTAGCTGAAATTTATTTTTATAAAAACCTTTTAGTAGCCTATCTCTATGTTTTTCCCAACAACTTCACAAAATGTAAGTAACAAAAGCCCATTCTGGCCATCTATTAAAATAATCAATATTCACTCTTGAGTCAGCAGACCATAACTTTATACAGTATTCCAACAGTTGCCTCACTAATCTTATCCAAGGTACATTTAGTTTACTGCTCTTAAATTCCACATTTCTATAAACAGGTTCCAGTACCAGCTTTTACAGCAGCCTAAGTCTGAGCAATCTAAGGGTTTCAAGATATTATTTGTAATGCATTATATTTCTTTCTTTATCCACAACATACTTCTCTCATATATATATTGGATGTAGCAAGCAGGGCCACACTATAGGCAAGCTACACAGTGCAGCTGCCCAAGGTCCATTACTTTTGAATGGATCCAACTTACCCAGAACCTCTGATTCTCAAAATAAATATTAAAAAATAAAATAAAGTGCATGCTAAAAACGTCTTGTGTTAAACACTTACTGTCTTACATATTATTTACACTGTAAAACAGACAACTCATATTGCATCATTTTTGACAAATTTATATTTTCTGCACACTCCCCGCATGTGCACATTAACCAGATGAGTCTAAGTGTAGCCTTAGAGGGGAGGACAGTCAATCTGGGTAGATTTGGGTGAGGTGGGGTTGGTACCACAGTTTATTTTACCCTATTGGCACTTAGAAATTGTTGGTTGACAAGTGTAATGCTAATGGTTATTACTCATTTTCCTGTGTTTCATATGATAAATTTGATAAGCCAAAGATTTGGGCAGGAAAAAAAATTATTGGGGAAAAGAACCACATAGGAACTGTGAATAAGGTGTAGTGAACATCAATAGCAAACACATCTGATCAACAACATCTGCATGCCAACAGGAGGAGGAAAAGGGTCTTCAAGGAGAGATGACAGAAGGAACAGGTTAACAAATGCTTGAATGGTGGAAGGGTAAGAGCATGAAGCCTATCGAAGGGATAAGTGCAACTCCATGGGAAACAAGGTAGGACCAAGAACTGGTTCAGAGCTGAAAGATCGATGACAGTGCGATAGTCTCTGATCTACTGAGGGATGAGAAACAGATGGGAATAAAAACCTGGATAAGAGGAATCCCCCATTTGATGGCTCCCTTGCAAAGCAGCTTCCCGAACCAACCACCTCCAAAAGATATTGGCCGGAATAAGGATCCTTAGGACGAGGGAAGGAAACTGGATGCTGGAACAATGGAAGAGGAGAAACAAAATGGAGGACCAGACCCTCTGAGACAACCTGCAGAACCCAAGGGTATGTGGTAAAGAACCTCTATATGTGGGCAAAGCCGAGGAGCCTGGCCTCCACAGGACTCACACCCACAACATAGTCACAGAGACTATTGGTTGCCCCTAGGATGGTGCCCAAGGAGCCGACATCGAACCTCAGGAATAAAAGAGGCCAGAACCAGTGAGTGAGAAGAAAGAAAAGGGCAAGACACAGGAAACATTTCAGAATGGGGTTGGGATAAATGGGAAGCCAAGGAGAAAATGGAGGTATGTAACTGTGCTGACCCAACTTTGGTTTCCAAAGAGTCAGGAACACCCCAAAAACCTCCTGATGCAGTGAAGAAGCCCTGCACAAATCACACAATGAGGAAAGAGGCAATAGCACCCAAGACAAAAGATCATCCTCACCTAAAAGGTCCCAACAACAGAGGAGCCACATTTGCAAGGAAAGGGTGGAAGAGAAGAGGTGTGCCAGAGTATCCACTGAGAACCTATAAGGGGAATGATGAAGTGCCTTCGATAGCAAAAGTAAGAAGGATAGGGAATGAAGAATGGAGGAAAGGGTGATACAAGTTCGGGAAAATTGGGCTGGGAGAAGGAAACAAAAGTATTTGGATCTAAACACAACAAAGGGACAAGTGACTCAAAATGCTGTAAGTCTAAGTAGGGAAACTCAGAACAATGATATGTCAAAGCATGGTCTTCCAGACTATGTGAGGGTTGTGACATACTGACCCCCAAACATAATTGGTCCCCAAAACAACTCATATGAAATCCTCAACCTCATATTCAGACATACCCACACATGGTATGAGAGGACAATCATGAGGTTACTCAGAAGATTGCATAAAGGTAGCTAACTCCCTCGAAACCAGACTTGTTACTTCCTGAGTAGATAAAGCTTGTCCTGGCAGCATTGAAGTGGCAGGAAGATCAGCTGTGGTAGTCACAGCAGCAGTGGTAGTTGCCATATGGAATTGTGAGCGGATTTGATTGAGAAAAAGGAGAATTGAAGATTCAAAGACAATTCCAAAACTATAAAAGCTCAAAAATATACATTTGAAAATAACCAGAAAAAATATGAGGCCAAAATAATATTCGAAGCTTGAATGAGAAAAATGATGGAACTATTAACTGAAACAATCAGCAGGAAAGCATGAGTGAAAACATCTCCTATCAATATGACTGTCAATTGTGGAGGGTTGCTGCATGATTATTTCATGATAGCATGCAGATTTCTTATGTAAATGCACATGAGGGAAGGTGGGAGTATCAAAGCTAGTGGCAAACAAAACTTTGCACTTATAGACGGCAGTATAAGTCAAGAAAAGTTATTAGTGAGAGGAGGTAAGATATCGTATCAGAAATAAAAGATATATCATAATAGAAAATCACTTATAATACTGTCTAACTTTGACAATGGGATCAGTAAATCTTTAGACAATGCATTTTGTACTTCTAGGTAGGAAACATATTCACCTTTTCATCCACTAAATACAAGCATTTAACAATGCAGTAACTAGAGAAAAACTAATTCCAAAACAAAGCCAATTTTCATTATTTTTTATAATAATTATATACTAATAGCTATCAAGTTGTGCACAGGTGTAATCAGAAATGCAACTTTCATGGTAACAAACTCTGAAAATGCATGAACATGAAACCAAATGTAGTTCATTTAAATAAATCTTAATTGGTTTTAAATAAGGTCAATGTAATGCATGATTCTGCTAGTCCTTTTGTAATTGTTGCAGTTTTACAACTGGCAATACTTTTATTACATGCATCATTTGATTCTGTTGAATTCCTAAGGAAGTTAACATTTTGCTTACCTCAAAATGTATTTCCAACAAATAATAACCTCTTCACACAGAATAGTTTGATTCCTTCAAGCATCTGCCTAAGAGATTTTCATGGTACTAGCCTTGAACTACCTCCCACCCAAAAAAAAAAAAGGTGTTTAACATGAACTGCACAAGTGCCTGAGATCATCATGCAACAACAGTCCTCTACCAATAGGAGGGCAATATAACCTACTTGTGCAGAAGCTATCCCCAAAGCATTTGCACTCAAATTAACTTCATTTTTTAGAAGAGGCAAGAAGAAAGCACTCTGGAAGGGGACGATGGGTCAAAAAGTGTGCCGAGGTATCAGAAGTTATAATTTTCCTACACTGAAAATGTATTTCCAATAGGTACTTACCACCTCTCACATAAACAGCTATTCTCATTCAGTGCTGTACTCTATATGCATACAAAATGTTATGCATGCCACAAGCCTTCTATCTCCCCCTCCATTGGAACTGACTGATTCCAATGTGTCTCTCATGCAAATCATCATGCATCAACCCTCCACCAGTAACAGTACAACATACTCTCATGATGCATGTGACTCCTTCTATTCAATTCTACCAAACTATTACTTCAAGTTTTGGTAGAAGATGGAAGCATCAGTTTTCAGTGGGGAAGAAAGGTGGGAAGTGTGAAAGGAGGTAAGTACCTATCAGAAATACATTTTCAGTGTAGGGAAATTATATCTTCCAATATGGTACATTATCTTCACTAACATAAATAGCTAGAATACCACACTGAATAGTGAAGGGACCTGTGTGAGGGAAAGAAAGAAGCATCCTTCAAAAGCATCTGAAGGACACTCCATAAGATGAGACAGTCACATTCTAAGATCTGATGTGGGGAACTGCACCACTTCTGAACAAAGTATACTCTATGTCTATCATAGAAAGATGTTGCATATATGAGCAGAAA